CACATTTTATCCTGACTACATTTGCTTTTAATAAACTTACAGAAATGTGTTCCAATGCTAGGGTTCCATGGAAGACAATTTGAAAACCACTGATAAACTGGATAGTCTTTGGCCTTCATATACTTCACAACATAAATTCACACTAGAAAAACTTATATACCTTCCATATCAGGAGGAACAAGGTGATCACAGCAGAGAAGACAGATGAATCAAAGAAAGTAAGCAATAGGCCTGATCAGGTTTTTAGGGTGCCTAATTAAAAAGTCATAATTGAGTCACACATATCCTTCAAATACCACTTTAAAGTGACAGGCAAGTTAGCAATGCTGTTCTCTTGACTGAAAAGTATTAGTGAAATATCGGAAGTCACAAATATGGCTTAACGAAGAGCATTTTCCTTATTCACAACACCTAGGAAGAATGGACATATAAAGAGTCAGGTTGCAATCAAGGTGCATCAGTATGTAAATGTAATTCCCCATTCATTGCAGGGAAAAACGACACCACAATTTTCTGAGTACCTACTATGAAGCCAACAGTGTGTTAGGCACTTTCACATACAGTATCTCACTTCATCCTCAACAGACTTTCAAAGTAGGCATTATTTTACACTAAAAATCCAACGAGCAAAGAGGTTAAGTAATCTGTCCAAGTTCACACAGATAGTGGTGGATCAGAAATGAGAGCAGCTGCTTTTTTGCTAGCATCGAAAAAGGAAGAAAAAAAAAGATGAGAGCAGAGAGTCGTTCCTAAGGTCATGCTTATGTTAGTACGCCACAGCTCCATCTAAGAGCATACAGATTTAAACAAAAGAGGAGTGTGCTGACCCCATTAACAACAAATATATGAATGAAAAGCAATCTGATATCATCATACATATAAAAATCATGGATTGTTCTTAGGAACCTAATTTTAATGCCTCTTAATACACCTTCATTGAAACAATTATTTCTTATTTATCTCCATATGCTGTGGTTAAGTACCACACAAACAGATTTTCACTTTTGGGTGCTTAGAATTTCTACTTATACCTATTTGTTTTTTCTAACTAGGTGCTTTATAACTCCGTAGCAGTAAGTTACACATTTATTTGAATATTAGTTTAACAACCCTAACTGGACCCAGTTGAAGCCTACAGACCTGCAATCCCCAGGCTCCGAGCCGAGGCCCAGAACTGTGTGTGGCCTGTTAGGAACCCAGTTGGGCATCACTGCCTGAGCTCCAGCCCCCATCTTGCCCCCTCATCTGTGGAAAAATTGTCTTCCATGAAACCAGTCCCTGGTGCCAAAAAGACTGGGGCCACTGCTGTAGACTACTTTCTGATAACAAAGGCAGAGGGAAACAGAAGAGCACTAATTTTTCTACTCTGACTTCCGGGTGACACTCACTCTGAGTGTCTTCCTTTGACAAACTTACATGTTAGCTTCCTACACATTAACACTCACACAGGCTACTTTCACCTATCTTCAGAGAAATGACCTTCTCTGAAAATTATAGTTCAATAAAAAAGACAATTCCAAATTCTACTTGGACACGTCATTTCTACTTTGAGGAGATGGGGGAGGAAGTGAGGGTGGGGACAGGACTGGTGGCACAGAGGGAGTCTAGTGAATTGTTTAGAGTAAAAAGAATATGAGAAAAATAGAAGTAATCAACATTTTTTTAAAAACTGTATTTCTCAAAGTTGAATAAGATGTGGTTCCCTTTCTTAAAGATAATACTTCTGACAGATTTTCAAGATATAGACCCCAATTTGAGAAATACAGATTTAATAAACTAAAATCTTATTCTGTAAGAAAATGTCTTTCATTTATGGATTATTTCTATTTAAGAGTTCTTTTATCTTATTTACCCTCATCTTTTATGTGATGGTGACATTCATCAATTTCTAAGAAGCCTAAGGACCTTTATTTCAATAACATTGGATTTGAAAATTATTCTTAAACTTACTTGACATCATTTAAAAAAGAATTCATTTTTTCCTAACAGAAAACTACTGGCTAAAAATAAAGACCAAACACCTGTAAAACCTGTAGGAGGTTTTAAGGATTAGATATGAAAACTTCAACTTAGTCTATCACTTATGTCTATTTCTGCACCAAGATAAATGTCACCTTTACCTTGGTGTTTTCTTCGTTTTGATGAAGGCTCATCTCCCTCAGAGTTCATGACGTAACTAGAGAGATGAATCAAAGATGTCTGGCTCAGGCTGTCAGGTCTCCAGTTATAGTACTGAAACTGAGTTTTAGACTCAAACAAACAAGGTGGTCTCCAATTTAGTGAAAAATGCCTACTGCTGAAGTATGGGTAAGGAGCACGAGAATAATGTCCAGGCCACCTCATACAACTAGAAATATGTCTGTTCCAGCAACACCTCTGTAGACTCTCCCACGGTGTAGTCCAGTCTCTGCCCAGACTCTTCGGGTGATGGGGAAACACGGGGTATCTAAAAGAAATAAATACACTCCTTGAGGCACCACTTTTTTTTGGCTATAGTACACAAAATCTAAATCTATTTCCTCAAGGGAAGATAATGTCTAAGATTAAAAATCTGACTTCTAATCTGTAAAGGGTGAGGAGAAAAGCACCCATGATTTCAATATTTTGATATTCTCTCCCTAATCAACCATGAGTGGTATTCTAAATACTTAACACAGAATGCCACCCAGGCTCCCAAAATACTACGTATCCCTCAAAAAGTCCACAGTTCAGCTGAGAGATGAATCAACCATCAAACTGGTATTCAGAGCAGCTTTCTGCCACCTAATAACACTTAGTGGGAAAAGAAAATCCACAGCAAACACAATACTTAAAACAAACATGGAACACATATTGGGCTACAATTAAGCAAATCTTTCTTCTCACTTGGGTTTGAAATAAAAAACATGTTTCTGACCAGTTTTTTATACCAAGGTTAGATTTTTCCAAATACTTGTATAGCTAAGAAAACAAAATCCTATCACAACAAAACTACTCCCTTTGCTAATCAGTGGATGGATAATTTATTTCTCCATTTCTTTTTTAAAGCATACTTCTCTTTGGGGGAAATGAAACAGGATAGGGATTAATTACTAGGAATGTACCAACACTCCATACCTAACAGCTTTAATTTAATGTATCACCCAAAATATCTCCAAAATAGTGCTAACATTATTTTTAATAGATATGTTGCTCTCAGACTCTCAAGAAACACTGCAGTTTAAGCACCATCTTCTTTTTCTAAAGTATTTTGGCAAAATGTCAGAGGACTTTCTATCCTTTCCTCCAGAATTCATTCCAAGATAGTATCAATAATGTTCACTTCTATCACTAAGAAAATTTTGCTTAAATTGCATTTATCATTATTTGACTTTTCTATGTTTTTTCATTTTAACAGCATTTTTATTATGTATTTGTGCAGTTTATATATGGTCAACTTGCTCTATAAAATCAACAATTGTAAATATTTACAGGCATATGAGGCCTCAATCTTGCTTTATGACAACTCTGAAAGCCATAGGAATTTGGGCACTTAGACCATGCATTTTGTATCTTAATAAGGTACTGTATGGAAATATAATACTTGTACTACAAAACTCATTCTCTGTATTTGTAGTTATTTGTACAGATTTTTTTCCTCTAAAGACGTTAAGCAACTTCAGGGCCAGAGCCTTCTTATTCATTTTAATTCCAGTTTCTTCACGAGTGCCTAGCACAATGCCTGGCAAACAGCTGGTACTCAGGAAACATTGTTGAACTATTATCGTCATCAAGTCCCAGACCTATAGGAGTTAAAACCAGATCCCCATGACTTACGTAATAATTAATACAGTGCTGTGCTTACCACGACTGGTGTGTGATACACCAGTTGGTTTCACAGGGTTCACAATTAAATTATTTGATTTAGAATATCCAAGTACTTATCTTAAATTTCCTTAGAAAAAAACATAATCAGTATATTAAGCCCAAGATTTTGCAAACACAGCTTAAGGCGACGCCAATGTAGGTAGCACCTACTGAAGTGTTTTTTTAGAAAAGTGAGTCAATTTAAAGAAATATACCCAGTAAATAATACAGGTGGAACGAGAACTTGGCCATAATAGTAAGGGTTGGTGTACAAGTGACTGAAGTTCGAGAGACACTAGCACACCAACAAAACACAAACCCCTCCTGGCGTGTTTGCAACAAGCGCGCCTCCCTCGGGGTCCAGCCGCCAGGACCTACTGCGGACAGGAGGCCTCCCCGCGGACAGTCAGCTCCGAGAACGGTGCTGCGAAGTCTGGGGAGCAGGCCACGGCTGGGTTGGGGGAAGTGGGCCGGGGCTCCAAGACCACTGGTGCGGGCCGGGAAAGCACAAGCCTGGCCGGCGGCCGGAGAGCTCCGTGCCAGGGCCCCAGACCTCGCTGGCCGAGCATCCCGCCGGCTAATCGCCGGGTTTACCTATCCCTCAGGGTCTCCGGAGGCTCGTCCCGGATGCACCATTGCTCAGACCCTCTTCCTCCTCCTTCCTCCCCAGCCCGCCCCGCCCCGGGTTAATCTCGGCCGCCCGCCCCTCTCTCCTCCCTCTAGGCACCCAGCCCTACTGACCGGCCTCTTCCCACCACACAGCGGCCGTAGCCTCTCCTCACACAGCGCCACGCTTCCATTTTCCTCGTTCGCGAATGTCCAGTTCCCAGGCTCCGGGCTCCACCTCAATGTCTATAACTGTCGCGGAGGCCTAAAGCACTGAGGGGACCCCATCACTCTAAGTCTTGACTTCCAGCGCGGCTGCAATGCATGCTGGGAGGTGCAGTCTCGCCGCCGGCTGAGTCTCCATCTTGAGCAGTAAACGTTTCTGAATTGCCTTAACCGCGAATTGCGCCCAAGGAGCATGCGCAGAGAGTGTGATGCACGAACAGCCATTTTGGAATAGGGCAAAATACCCGACCTCTGTCTTAAAGAAACAGAGAGAAATAAGTTTACTGGACAGAGCTGGACTGTTTTATTAAGGTCTAAGGGCAGGTGCACTGCGTTAAATGTATGAGAGCTAAGATAAATAAATATTATTTTAGAGTATTTTTATAATGTACATGGGGAGATTCAAAAAGTGGATGCCACTTAAAGCGAGAAAAAAATATATATATATACTGCTCTTACGGAAACTAACTCAGAAATATCTTAAGAATTCAAGCTTACATAATTAAGGTTAATCTGTAGTGAACAGGTGATTTCTGTTTTGAAGTAGTTTAATGTTTCTAAGAAATGAGTAGGAAGAGACACTGATTGATACGGTGGTATCATGTCACCATAATTACATACATTGCCAGGAATTGGGACAGTGAGGAAGGTGGTCAATAAAAACTCAGAGACCAAGGTCTCTACTTAAGGAAAACCAATTATTTTGGACAAGTATATAGAGATTCATCTATTTCCCAGGGGATTGCTTAAGAATTCAGGAGCTGGAATCAAGTGGGTTGGGGTGTGAGTAGCCACTATGACAATAGTGTGAGTTAAACCTCACCCATGAGGACTGATGTTTGAAAGAAAATGGAAGAATCTCAGAGCCCACATTTCGATGAAATGGAGAGGGCTTGGACACTCTCTGGAAGTTGTTCTCCCTGCCAAAAACTAAAGTAGGTGAGGCTGCCCTCTCTTCTATGGGTACTGCCAAGGCTGATTGCAGAGCAGAGAGGAGGATGAGAGGTAGAGTGGAATGAAGTCAGGATACGTCCCCTTCTGAGAAATAAGTCATTAGTGGAGGCACTTTTCAGAGGGTGACAGAGTTCCAGAGAACTCATTAATGGCTGTACAACTAGAAATAGAGATGGCTAGAGCTGTCAAAATGTCACACTAGATCAATTAATACTCAAAATAGGAATTCTGAGCCATAGCAGAGAGGCTTAGAATTGTCTGAAAATTGTTTTTCAACTCCCTGAGCAGGAGAGTGGCCATTTCAGTTGTCTGGTATGGGATGGCCAGACTGGATGAGGAAACAAGTTAGAGCCAGGATTATGACAGAAGAAAAATCCAGAACAGACTGGAACAGAAACATTTTACTTCAATGTACCTAGATAAGGTCTTCATTAGTTTCTAGAGGGCAGGAATCAGAAGTTAATCCCATAACAAGAGCATAGCGCTTGTGTTTTGTTAAATTTCAATTTAAAAAATCTTTCCAGGCCAGACACAGTGGCTCGCACCTGTAATGCTAGCACTTTGGGAGGCTGAGGCAGGAGGATCACTTGAGATCAGGAGTTTGAAAGCAGCCTGAGCAACATAGCAAGATCTCATTTCTACAAAAACGTAGAAACAATTAACCAAGTGTGGTGGTGAACACCTGTAGTCCCAGTTACTCAGGAGGTTGAGGCAAGAGGATCCCTTGAGCCCAGGAATTTGAGGCTGCAGTGAGCTATGGGGCAACAGAGCAAGCCTCTGTCTCCAAAAAAAAAAAAAAAACAACAAACAAGGAACTAATCCAGTCTCACCTGAGGAAGATCTCACCACCATGAAATCAGCACACCAAGCCATTCATGAGGGATCTGCCCCCATAACCCAAACACCTCTCACTAGGGCCCACCTCCCTACTGCCACATTGGGGATCAGATTTCAACATGAGCTTTGGTGTGGACAAACTCAAACTATAGCAGTTCTTATAAAAACAGAATTTGGCAAAATATAGATTGCAAGGCTGAAAAATAAGGTTGGAAATCCAGTCTGAAGTATCTTTCAACTCCCACACATGTTCTTATACTTCACTCTCTACCTCCAAATTCTGAAAAATGTTTCTATACAACCTACCAACTCTCTCAATAAAAATATCTCAGGTTGTCATGGTGACATAATGTTTTTTCCCCTGCAGAACTTTGTAGTCTGGTGCAGTAGTTTCCTAATTCTTTATGGTTGTGGAAACTTTCCTTTCTTTTTTGGGACTCATTTTTGGTTTCTCATTCTTCCAGCCTAATATATTTGGAATTGATAAAGTGGTACCACAGTATAGATTTAATTTGGAGCAGGGAGGATTTAATTAACAGTTTTAACAATCATCCATAAATCAGTCTATAAAGCTGATTAAGTCCTCCATGAGTACATGTTCTGCAGTGGTCCTTGATGAAAACATCATAGCACTCAGCCCTCATTAGAATTTCTAATTTCTTTCCCTAAACTGTGTAGACTAAATTAAAAACTCCTGATGTCCAGGCTTTTTAAAAAGTAGTAGTGGCGAGTGTGGTGGCTCACGCCTGTATTCCTAGCACTTTGGGAGGCTTGCTCTTTTTTTGGGGAAGATTGCTTGAGGCCAGGAGTTGGAGACCAGGCTGAGCAAGACCCCTTCTCTACAGAAAATCAGCTGGGCATGGTGGCATGTGCCTGTAGTCCCAGCTACTCAGGATGCCAAGGCAGGAGGATCACTTCAGCCCAGGAGTTTGAGGTTGCTGTGAGCTATGACGAGGCCACTGGCACTCTAGCCTGGCTGCACAGTGAGACCCTGTCTTAAAAAAAAAAAAAAAAAAAGAAAGAAAGAAAGAAAGACAGAAGCAGCACAATTATAGAAATTTCATAGCCAGGATACAAAATTCAGGTTTGTCCTTCTCTTTTCTACATCCCTAAACCCTTTCTTATTTCCATCTCTCAGACCCAGAACAGGCTTTGGAGATTTGTGAGGACCTACAGTACAGAGACCTGTGGATGTTCAGCAGGGGTTCCTTATACCCAAGAGAGAATGAAGAAGCTCAGTGATGGAATGTCAGAGGGGAAATGAGAAAGCTGAATGTAAGGAAGAGCACAAATGCTTTCTGAGGTTGCTTGATAATCTGTTTGAGGAGAGAAACCATGTCTTTTGGTTGTTAAATAGTGCATAAATAAATGGCTATTAGGTGGGGACTTTTCCATGCATTCTGCCTCTGCCCATGCCAAAACTAGACAGTTGTCTGGAAGCAGTGAATGTCCTTTATGATGGCTAACATCAAGGTGGAAGGTATGTACCCTTTTATTCCCTTTAATGAATCTTTTGTTCATTGATATCTAAACCTGGGATGTCTGGAATACTGGAGGTCAAAAAAGGATTTAAGGGAATCTTTGACCAATTACAAAATTTTAAAAAATAGAATAGAAATTGAAGAAAAGTTTACAACAAGGAAGCAAAGGTTCACCAAAACCTCAAGTGTCTTTGTTGTTGACTGATATTATATGAACTTAGTGTGATAACATTTGTTATTTTATTGTGGTCAGAAACTGAGATCAGTAGTTATATATCATTGACCTTGATTGGAAAGACAAAAAAACAAATAGTGATGACTTAATACTGGACAATAGCAGAACAGCAGATTTTGTAAGGTGGGACCAAGGAAATAACAACAGAAAGAAGCTGATGGGTTAATATTAGGTTACTCCAGGTTACTTTTTTGTAAGGGTTAAAGCAGAGGGGACTTCTTTATTACACTGACTCAGGTAATCTGGACTGTCCTGTTTTCAGGATTACAGGTGTGAGCCACCACGCCCAGCCAGTTTTCAGTCTTAATTGGATATATATATAAGGGTGTAGGCAAGGTGAATCAAGCCGTGGAAGAGAGACATGCCTGGACATACACATTTGTGAGTCAATGGGTATAAAGCACAAAGGACCACAGGCAAAATCCCAAGAAATTCGAGTATTAAAGGTTCCTGGAAAGAGAAGAAACCAGGAAAGGAGAATGAAAAAGGAGTGAGTTATCTGAGTGTAAAAGAAAAAAGAGAGATAATGCTGACTTATATGCTGAGGACAGAAGAGTTCTGAAAAGGTGGAAATGGTCAGAAACTTTCAAAGTGTGGAAATATTGGGTAAGATGAGATCATTAGAAACTTTTTTCAGAGCAGTTTCAGAGTAGCAATATAGTAGTGAAACCAGATTGAGGTGGCTATGGGAATAAATGGGTAATGACACAATACTTAAAAACAACTTAAACAACTTTGACAATGAGGGGAAGGAGAAAGCAAGGAGAAAAAGAAGGCAATACAAATAATGTCCTTCACTTCCTTCTCTGTGGGGAACCTGTGGCCTTAAGGCCACATGTGGCCTTCTAGGTCCTTAAATGCAGGCTTTTGACTGAATCTGACTTTTACAGAGCAAACCCTTTTATTAAAAGGGGTGCAGCAGAAAAAGATGAAGCTGTTCTTGCCTCCTTTGGTGCTTAAAAAAGAACAATCTTGAAATCAGAAGGCCGCAGGTTCCTCACCCCCACAGGAGTTCATCATGGTACTTACCACAATATATTTTAATTGTGTCTTCTTTATTTTTCCTAAAGAACCATCTTTAGGTTCTGAGAGCAGGGACTATCTTTGTAACTCCAATACCTAATTAGCATGATGTGTGTCACACAGTAGGTGGTGAATTCAGGTTTAATGAATGAATGATAGACAGATTTAGGCTTATGTAGGCTGAGAAGGAGCCAGTGGTGAGAAAGATTAAATATACAGAAAGGGGAGTCCGGATGTCATTAATGGGACAATGTCTTTAGGTCTGCCAAAGAG